GTGGACAAGGCAGCTAGTTCGTTCGCTTTTGTTTTGATTGCTTGATGGAATACAAGCGAAGGTAGAGATTTGTTGTGAGTGTCTTGGATTCCAGTCCTAATAGGAAACTGATTTGAACTTTGTTATCTTTAGGAATTTAGAAAATGTATATGTCTTAGAATTCCACTTCAAGTAAAAGATCAATTGGAAACCCTATTGTATTAGAAGACAAAGTATTTTGGATCTATAATAGATTATAGGCCACTTAGTTTTTTTGGGTTTTTGGCCCCCAATTTTGGGCATCCATGTTTGGTTTTATTCTCTAAGTTAGAGAATTTTGTGTAATTTCCTTTTGTTGATATTGATACTTTGCTTCTGTGTTTCGCCCGTGGAGTAGGGTTTTAAGCCGATCCACATAAATTTATATTCTATATTTTCTATTTCGTTCTGCTCTATTTTGCTTGTGGTCTTCGTTCATAACAGTCTTCATACGGCCACAGCTCTTCCAATTTTACTATTGTGCAAACATTATCGAGAATCAAATCTTCGCCAACTATTTAATTGGTAACACAAAATTTAGTAATTCAAGATTTAAAAGTAGAAGGTCTCCATGTAAAATATAAAGGTATTGGAGCTAAGAATCTGTGCTAAAAATTTAGAGATAAGTTTCTATGATATAAGCAAACTAGTTTTATTTCTACTTTCTAAACAAGACTTTTCTGAGTTTAATTGCCAGAAAATACCAAGGAGGAGATTACATATCTTTATTTGGCTGCTGAAGGAGGGTATTTATAAGATATCTGACTTGCTGAAAAACTTTCATCTCCCTCTCCCCTGCAGGTTCCCAACGACTCTTTGTCCCTATGTATCATATCTTCCAGTTGGGATATGGCTAATTCATTCTGGTACCTTGCATACAGTGGCTTGAGCCCCGGAAGCTCCAGTTCATTCTGTCCATGTGGCTCTTGATGCTTTTGCACCCCATGCTCATTCGACAATGCAATCTGTAACCAACTTTTATTTGCTTGAATAGTGTTTTGTGAGAATTGAGGTGGCTGCAGGCATTGCTGCTGATTATCTTTCAATTTGAATTGTATGTCCGCTGCATCATTTACTTCTTGCTTCAAGATTTGCACTTGAGCAGCACTAATATTGCCCCTCTCTTTTCCTTCTTCCAGGGCAGAATGTAGGAAACTGTCAACTATGTGTTCAGTGCATTCATCCTCCTGCATCGCCTTCTTATTTCTGTTCTTATCCTTGCACTTTATACGACACATGACCCATTCTTGAAACTGATCCCAAATTTTTTTTTGGAATATGTAGAGAAGCAGCAAAATGATTCAAGGGAAAAATAAATTGAGATACCATAAAAAAAAGTTGAGATAAAATGAACTTATATTAAGGATAAGTAAGAACTGTGCTTCTATTAAAAAGATTGGTAATATTTGATGTTTTTGGCAAAGGTTAAGTGAATCTTGCTTACCTTATTTGAGTGGAGTTTGAATTCATGCATGATCCAGTCACTTTTGATGCACTCTTTACGATTTCGGTTCTTAGATTTGTAGCTGTAGAAGTTCAATGACTTCTTGAAACCGAGGAGGCAACTTTGCTTATCTTTAATGGGCTTGTCCCCAGTTGTAGTCTTCCACCATCCCCCATTGAGGTCACCGCCTTCAAGACCTCGTTTGGATGTTTTTCGATTCCCGGAAGCAGACTTAATTTGTCTCTTCACAAAGTAGTAAGCCTCATCACTTATAGATCCCACAGTTGGACTTGCTACACCATACGAAGTCCAGGAGAATCGATATTAGTGACCATAGTTTGTGAGGATCATATCAAGCAAACAAAAGAACAATAGCATACAATTGATGAACACAATTTAATCAAGAAAGAAACATGATATAATTATTCGAGATCTAGTGGCGAAGGTGGAAAAGCTGAACTTTTACCCTAGAGAAAATCAGATTGTTTGTATACAGAAAACTTCCACCCTTGGAAAAATCCTGCAGATTAGCTAGAAAGTCTTCTTGGTTGCTATAGCAGTTTGATTAAATTATGGATAGGCCAGTTGGAAGCTAATGTAAACTAAAACACGCTGTTAATTTTCTGCATATTTTTCAAAACCAAAACCTCAAACTTTGGCACAGATTAATGCGTGGGAAGAGAACAGGTAATTTCAGGGAAGATGAACAAAAATAAGACAGTGATTTCTTGTGCTATGACTTTTTTATCTTTCATTGGGAATACTCTAGTAACTAAAAGAAGAGAATTCTAGTACTCTGGCAATCAACCTTAAATTGAAGACTTGCAGCCTTCTAAACAGTGGCAAGAAGAACAGGGTGTAGGAGCAGCATTCAGTTGTGTAGAGGTGGTGTCTCAAATTCAATTCAACTCAACTACTCTACGCTGTGCTCGATCATGTATCTCCATTATTGGTTTATTTAGTTGTCTTCTGAGTACCAATGGTACTTTAGCTTTGGCGTCTTAATTTATCTTTCGGTTTGGTATAATTTATATGTGACACTTGATCATCCATTCTGTCTTTTTCTTAGAGATATGCATCGTCCTTTAAAGCCAATCAGACTGCTTTAAGAACTTGTTTGAATTCATATGCTTGATCCCTTTAGTTGTCTTGGGCTAGGAAAATGACTTCTTCTATGTGATTCGTAATAGGCAAAGATTAGTTTAGGCTAATTATTGGCGAAGTTCCCAATTAGAATTTTCTAAAGTTTGATTCACAAACAGAGAAGGGTTCAATGATGTTCGAAATTTTCCTCTGTCAGGTTCTCTTCTTGAATGAGTACTCTACTTTTCAACATCTTACTACTTAATTTTCCGTTCTGCCAGGTCTTGGAATTTGAGTATGCGTTTCGTGGTGAGATTGTCACCCTGGCTCAGGTAATATAGTTAAGTTCATCAGCAGTTGTATGGACAAGTAATTTCGAATTATGATTCCTATTAAAGGAGATGCACTCATTCATCCACAGATAACCACTTCTGAAAAATTTAACTCAGTAAAAGAATTTTGGTGAATGCAATAACTACTTGAATAAACTGGTTTTGGTCCAAACAATGTTTGCAATTCTTTGATAGTCCTTTGTAATGTTTTGTTCTTGAAGCAATTACAACTTACAAGAAGAATTAAAAGAGAATCAATGTCCTCATCCATTTGATGAGGCCCTCTTCTTTTCCATTCTTCTGAGTTTGAATTTTAGCATTTTAAATTTGTACTTTGAATGCATTTCAATATCGTGTCGTTTTAAAATAAGGCAAAACAATTGCCTCATGAGAACAACTTTCCAAGGCTGACATTCTGTTTCTGTACTCACTTCCCCTTTTTATGTGACAGATATTTTGTAAATTCAAATAATTGCTTGTTGTGAAGATCAAGTTACGATGAATGATTAACATTATGGAAGGTGTGGCCGGGGGGGTTTGGATTTGGGTTATTTCAAGTTGCATAAGCATAAAATCAGCTTGTATTTGTGAATAAAAACAGCAGAAGGTGCTACAATCTAATCCATTATGAAATTTAATCCATATGAACTTGCCCTTCGATTTCTCGCACATCCTTCTCACTTTTCAAATTTCAAGAAAGGACTTCCCGCTTTTGCACCGATAAAAATTAAAAAGAAAAATAAACAAAATCAAGAAAGAGAAGAACGATGCAAATTACCCCAATCAAGAAATCACTAAAATCTTTCAAGATGGAGATTAAGGTTCATTTAACTCTTCAGCTATGATCATTTTCTCACATTTCCCGGTCAACTATTACAATTCTCATATTACATCTGCAACTATGTAATTAGTTTCATCTAATACAATTTTGACGAAAAATTGTCTAATGATTTTGATGCTGTATTGACATAAGAGAAAAGATACAGAACATTTAATGAACGAAAGAATCAATAAATCAGAAGAAGGAAAAGAGAATAATGGCGAACGAAAGTGCATACATTTGAGCAACCAGGGTTCACGAGCATATACATCCATCTCGATCACGGCATTGGACGGCAGCTCGAGTCCTCGGACCTTTCTGCTCAAGTATTCTAGAACTACTTCATCTGTCGGTTTGAAAACGTATCCAGTGGGCAGTGCTTGTAAAGATTTACCGCCCATCGAGATCTCTTGTTCCGACATTGCAGCCATTCAAGGAAAACAGATCACAGCAAATCTCTCTCTCCAAAATCTATAGCGGAAAACCGGATACTGATATGCAATTGCTCTCCCAATTCTCTCTCTTGGAAAATCAAGAAAACGCAAACGAGCGTCACACTCTCACGAACCAAAGTCGACTCTTTAGGTCTCTCGTATACCTTCCAAAATTTGAAAATCTGTTATATATAGAGGGACGCTTTGGATAAAGTAGTATTAGTTTGGTACTACTTATAGACATTCTAGTGAAAATTAACTTTGGCCCTTTCAATTATGATAGTTTTTTATTTTTCCCCTCAACTATCATGTTTTTTTATATTATACCTTTAACTATGTGATTAATTTCAAATTATCTCAATTGTTAACGTCTGCTACATCTTTAATGGAAAGTTATTTCATTTTGTTATGACTATATAATTTTTTTTACTCTGTCCCAAAATGTCAATAATTTTCATCTTAAAAAATAACAAATATTTACAATTGGAGGAAGGTAAATCTGTTATTTATATGATACATTTTTAGTCTATTGTTTAGTATAATACTCCTTCCGTTCCTAAATATCTGTCGTTTTACACAATTTTTTTTGTTNGTCAGGTTCTCTTCTTGAATGAGTACTCTACTTTTCAACATCTTACTACTTAATTTTCCGTTCTGCCAGGTCTTGGAATTTGAGTATGCGTTTCGTGGTGAGATTGTCACCCTGGCTCAGGTAATATAGTTAAGTTCATCAGCAGTTGTATGGACAAGTAATTTCGAATTATGATTCCTATTAAAGGAGATGCACTCATTCATCCACAGATAACCACTTCTGAAAAATTTAACTCAGTAAAAGAATTTTGGTGAATGCAATAACTACTTGAATAAACTGGTTTTGGTCCAAACAATGTTTGCAATTCTTTGATAGTCCTTTGTAATGTTTTGTTCTTGAAGCAATTACAACTTACAAGAAGAATTAAAAGAGAATCAATGTCCTCATCCATTTGATGAGGCCCTCTTCTTTTCCATTCTTCTGAGTTTGAATTTTAGNTACAATTGGAGGAAGGTAAATCTGTTATTTATATGATACATTTTTAGTCTATTGTTTAGTATAATACTCCTTCCGTTCCTAAATATCTGTCGTTTTACACAATTTTTTTTGTTCCATAATATCTGTCGTTTAATAAAATCAAAGCATAATTAATATTTTTTTCCAAATTTACCCTTAAATTTTCAGTGCATTAGATTAGGTAGAGGCTAAGTGTCTTTCATATTCCTTTCCTTCTCAATATATATTGAATAAGAGTATTTTAGTCTTGTGTAATTATTTTTTACTCATATTAGAGCTATTTAATAATTCCTTATTTTTTATGCAAAAATCTTAAACAACAGATATTTAGAAGCGGAGGGAGTAATATGATAGAAAATGTAAGAAAGAAAAATTGTTTGGTTAGTAAGAAATGAAAAATAATATAAATAATAATTACTTTTACGGCACCCAAACCCAATTGCCACATCAGCTAATTAGTTTAAACCATGCATAGGCTTCATGAAGTCTCGTGCATATGATAACTCTCATCCCATCTATTAAATCTTTTATTGTCCTTAGGAATACTTTGGTAACAAAATAAATTTTTTTTTTGTATTATACCAAATACTACAAATTAAGTGCTCATATTATACAAAAATGGGGTCGTTTGGATTGACATTAATATTTTATCATCAATTATAAAATATTAGGATCAATTATATCCTAATTTTTTGAAAGAAAAAAAAAGTATCGTGAGTCCTCCGATTAAAACTCATGGATCAATAGATATAAACTAAGAATTTTTAGGTTCACAAGAATAAAATTGTCGATAGACGTACATGATCAAAATCGTCGTGTGCGCAATTTAGTTTCCTTCCTCAATGTTAACTAATTTTTTAAAAAATCAAGAACAAGTCTCAATTTCATAAAATCTTTTAAGATTTATAACCAAAAATCTTCACCAATATCTTATCTCCGAAAATCTTATGATCAAGAGTTATTGGACTTCAACGAATCAAACTTATGGTCTGCATCAACCATCCTCAAAAAAAACTAGGATTTTCAGTGTGGTCAACCCGTCATTCTACAAATAGTGCTTCAAAATCTTCCAAATCTGTCATATTATTATTTGACGTAAATGTTTCAAGCAAGAATATGTGCGAAATACTAGTTTGTTTGGTATTTCACTGATGCAGTAGAATAAGGAACATAAAAAAAAAATACCGTTTTTAAGTGTATAAAGCAAAAGTACTTTGAATCCACAAAGAAGTGAACAATAGAATATTTCTAAAAATTTATATTATTCAATACATAATTCGTATTACTAATTTATATCCTATTCATCCCCATAGTAAAAGGAAAATCCATAGTTATAAGAAAATTATCAAAAATGAAAAATTGTAATATAATTAATTAACATAAAAGCACGTGTCGTCTGGAGTATAACAAAATTGATGACAATGAATTCAAAATCTCATATAATTTATTATTAATTTTTGAATTATTTCCTAAAACGGCATAAATGGAGTTTTGAGGGTTTAAACGATAGAATTCGACCCAAAAATGAAGGGCCTCATAACAAAGCTATGAGTCTTGATTATTGGTCCGATCCAGATCAAACACCACCGATCTAAATCAATTCTAAATCTGACTCATTTTAACTCTACAATCACCTTTTGATCTTTCATTGGCCATTGGACGCGCAACGATTTTTCTACTCCAAATAATCAGTTGTCATCTGTTCTACATCAGTCTCTCTCGAAAAAAAAAAAAACTTGCCCTCAAGTTAACTTTTGAACGTTCAATGGAATCAAAGTGAAACTCGAACAAATCTTGCACATTCAAAGTAGTAGAGACTAGAGACGCTCACATCCGCAAGAAGCTTAACAGCAAAAGCATCGTCATTGATCTTCTTCAAGATCTAAAAGGGACCAATCTTCTTCTGGTTGAACTTGTTTTAAGACCCAACTGGTAATCTCTCCTTGTGTAGGTAAATCATAACTTTGTCTCCAACCCCGAAAATCTCCTTTCGGCAATGCTTGTCGACTGCCTCCTTGTATTTGGTCGTCGACGCTTCCTATTGTCGCCTCACCGCTGTATGCACATCTATCAGCTTCCCAACCATTTACTTAGCCACAATGTCCATACCTATGAGCTTTGGTAATGGAATTATATCAAGCATGTGTAAAGGTGCTAGAATATAAATATTCTGGAATGGAGACTTGCTGGTGGATCTGTTCATCACATTATTGTAGGCAAACTCTGCTTGGGATAAGTATTATCGCACTACTTCAATTATTCCTTGCAAAGGCTTCTCAAGATATTCCCTAGGGTTTGATTCACCACTTCTGTTTGCCCATCAGTCCGTGGATGACTTGAGTTATTGTGCTACAACAAAGTATCCAATCGCTTTCACAAAATCTGCTAGAAATGGCTAAGGAGCTTGTTGTCATGGTTAGAAGTAATGCTTTTTTGGAATGCCAAGCAAATGAACAACCGCCCAGAAGAAAAAGTGGGAAACATGAGTAACATCTGAGATTTCCTTGTATGGAATGAAGTGTGCTATATTGGAAAACTTGTCAACCACAACATATATAGAGTCCATTGAAGACCCTGTTGGCCCAAAGTGCAACTTAAGAGGAGGGTGAATTAGGTTTAAAAGGAAAATTCCCAATTAAAAGTTCAATTTCACTAATTGTGAAATTAATTAACCTATATGATAGTTGTCAATGGGATGAGAATGATATTTTGTGTGTGTGTGGAGGGGGGGAGTTAACAAAGACAATATAAAGTAAAGAGAGTAAGAGAGATAGAGAAAACACAATGATATATAGAGGTTTGACCCCAACACTTTGGCATATGTCCTCTTTTCCTTCTCACCTTAGAACCTTTCTCTTTCTTGAATCTCTTCAATAGGTGAGATTCCAACACCTTTGTACACTGTTCTTCCTTGAGTACAAAACAAAGATTTCTCTCTTACAAGATTCACTTAAGAAGAATACAATAAAGACTCTCTCTTGCTTCTCAAGAATATTCTCTCAAATCAATAATCAAAGACAATAAAAAGAATGATGTTCTTTGGTTTTTAACTTATAAGTTCACTTATGCAAGAAGACCCCAAAATGCCTTTAATGCCATCTGTATATAGTGGAGGTCAAAAAGAATTCAAATGCTGAAACTCAACAAATTTGAATTCATTTATCAGAGCCTCATCCGATATACCAGATGGTACGCCGAATTGTTACTGTTGCCTTATAACGACTACATCCAGTATACCGGTTCACTTGTCCGACACATCGATTTGTCAGACATCTTCATGTTTGGCTGGATACTGGAAACTTCTGAGGTGCTGGATCACCAACCGGTATGCCAGTTCGTCAAAGAGACTTTGCTAGTTCATCAAAGAATGCCAAGTGAAAATACTATAAGCTTTGGAGCTTTATTGGCTCCACATCTAGTATGCAGGTTTATCCATTCGGTGTACCGGTTCATAAATCTGGCATATCGGACACTCTATTTTGCATACATAATTTTCCTATTGTCTTCCTTTTTTCTTTTTCCTTTGATCTTGCTTGCTTTCCACCAATTACAATCTATCCATTACACATCTAATCATCAAAATAATGCTTAATCAAAGCTTTGGGTCAACAGACCCCAACACAAACTCCTTGGACATATCCTTCCAAGGTGTATCTCGAATGGGTAAAGGAATATAGAGCCCAGTATTATGTGTGTGTCCCTTAGTAGTCTGACATGTGTAACACTTATTAACAAATCTCTCCACATCTCTCTTCAGTTAAGGCTAGAAGTAGCACCCTTCAACCAAATCAACGCTCTTATGTCTGCCCATGTGTCCTCCTAAGACATCATTGTGAAGTTCTCGAATGATATGCTCAGGTAGGGATCCTCGGGGAATGCAAAGTTAGGTAGCTTTGAATAAGAAGCCCTTATGGACTTGAAAATCCCATGAGGCTCCACATATATCTGA